CCGTCTGCCTCCTGTGAACTAAAGTTAAGGCGGCTTTACGCATGCGCCCAACGCTTAGGGAGATCGGTCTATTGTTTATACCGGTAGAACCTGTACAAGGTTACCGACCGCCGGTTTAAGTGCCGGCGCCGGTATGGCGTTACCGGTCGCTCCGATACGTGGTTGCTGTTAGCCGCGCATCGATTACTGGCCACCGGTACTTTATTACGGCCCACCAGTGTGGCGTACCGGCTTCGCCTGTACGTGTTCACTCGCCGCCTGTACATGATATGGGCAACCGATACGGCGTATCGGCTTCGCCGGTACGTGGTTACCGGTTACCGGTGTGGCCTACCGGCTGTTCCCGTACGTGTTTATCGGCCGCCTGTACATGGTATGGGCAGCCGATACGGCGTATCGGCTTCGCCAGTACGTGGTTACAGGTCTCCGGTACAGAGCTACCGGCTACCGATATGAGAGTACAGGACTCCGGTGTGACCCGGTGTGAACCGGTATAGGCCGGTATACATTTGTACAGGTTTTTTCAGTAGGGATGTCTTTGGAAGTGGACGTTGTGTCTCGCCCATTCCCTGCGTCTTCAAGTGTACTCTCTTCGCGTGTCTTGATGGTACATCCCTCCTGGTTGTCTTGGGAGTTCTCTGGTGACGCCACACGCAGGTTGTTTAGCTGAACAGCCAAGAGTCTGTTGAACCTTGTTTCTAGCCCTTCACAGCGGGCAATCAAACCCACCAGTGCCTCTCGACCTTCCACCGTCTCTCGCCATTTCTTCTCGGATCTTTCAAACAGCAGTGCCATTTGAGCCATATTTTTCCTGTCTGTGTCCACTTGGTATAGTCGCTCAGTAATCTGTCTCACTTGGATTTCAAGGTTTTCAATTCTCTCCTGTTGAGATCTCTGCTGCGTAGAATCTAGTGAGGTTCGCAAAGTGCAGTTACAGTCGGCAGTCCTTATCTCATCTATGCTCACATGCGGGGTGTCTGGTAATGTCGAGCAGCAATCAATTACTTCCTGGTTGCTCTCATCTCCAACTATCTCAATGAAAGTCGCACTGTCCTGGTTGATGTTCCCAGGTGCCTTGGCCTTCTGACCAGCGACCGGGCAGGTTGTGGCTAGCCAACCTTTTCCTGTGATCTGGCGTTCTGGCGTAGCTTGGGTCAGTGCATCAGACGACAATCGTGTGGTTAGGTGATGTTGATCCTGGTACTGATGGACACCAGACGTGGTCCCTGCTCTTGAGAGCTCCTCAGCGCAGTCAACGTATTCTTCGGTATCAGAAGTAATCGCTTTCAGGGAAATTATGTTGGCTTCAGAATACACTTCTTCTTCATTCTCCGCCACGATGATGTCCAGTCGCTCTTCAGAATGAATACCCTGCTGGGCATCTATCGATAAATCAGGCTGTAGATCTGTGAGAGCTTCAGTGGTAGCCTGTAATCGTTCTAAAAGTTCGTTTTTGTTACCGGAGGTAGAAAGGCCCCGTGCTTTCAGCTCCCGTTTCAGATCGAGAACCTTCATCGCCGCCATCTTGCCTCCTAGTCGGTTAGTGTCGCAGGCAAGCGCCACCACGTGCCGTCTGGATACAACACGATGGCAGGCCAGCCACAACGGGAGAGCGAGTCCCCTGACAGCCTTATGTTATAAGCTAGAGGAGGCGTTGGTCCGGAAAGGATGACGAACCTGCGCAGCTGAGTGAATGAACCAACTTTCGTGTAATTTTAGTCACTGAATTTAAGTGCGTGTTCCGTGTGCCTCGATGCTATATGCCTGTTCTAAAAATGAGCACGCCTAGACGAGTCAAGCTGACTATAGACGACTTTTTTAACAAGAAAGAAAAATCACCCACTTCGTCAAGCGCACCATCAAAGTCTCCAGCAGAGCCGACACCTTCAGGTCAGACACCCCATCTCCTTGCCTGAGCGAGAGCAATGTTCCTGAAAACGACATCTGACTTTATATCCCATCTTTCTCAAGGAATTCAGAACTCAAGAATGAAGAGACAAAGCGAAAGCTAGTTATCGGCGATAACTACGTCTTCCCTGTTGGAAGCAAGCGGAGACTGAAGTTCCAGCCGCACTGGCTCAAGTCATATTCCTGGCTCCAGTACTCAGAATGCCAGAAAGGGGCTTTCTGTGGTGTCTGCGTGCTCTTCGGACAAGAGAACGCGGGAAAGGGCTGTAATCAAAGGCTCGGCCGGTGCTCTGGTGCGTACGCCGTTCAGACGATGGCAATGCGCGCTGGGGACCTTAAAGCCCCACAGCGAAGCGGAGTACCACAACGCCGCCGTTCTGTTTGCAAGCAACTGCCTGCAGGCAATTGAAGGAGAATCGGTTCACAAACAGCTGTACTCCGCGAATAGCGGTGAACAAGACAAAAATCGCAAGAAGCTTCTCTCGATAATCGACATTGTTCTTGTCTGTGGAAGGCGATGGATTCCTTCGAGAGGACACCGTAACGCGGGCCGCCTGGAGCTGGACCAACCAGTTGAAAACGGTGGGAACTTTCATACGCCGTGCACTCCTACGTAAGAAAGTGCAAGGCGGTGACGAGGTTTTCAGAGAGCACATCGAATCTGGACCTGAGATTGCGACTTACCTCAGCCCTCAAATTCAAAATGAGATCATCGAAGCAAGTGGGAGGATCATTCAGGACACAATTGTGAACCAAGTGAACAATGCGAAGCGCTTTACACTGCTGGCGGAGGAGACAACTGACATATGAAGTAGGTTTGACCTTCATCTGCCGGTCTAATAACGGCTTAAAAACAAGCTGTTTTAGGCGGTTAATCAGTTTCAGCAACATGGAACTTGCGTCAGGACACTTAACTTTACAATTAGTTTGCTTGGCTTGGTGGACACTAATCATGGAATGAACGGAAACCATTAAATCAGTCGGTTTCAAAAAGATTTCGAGCATCTGTGAACAGTGCAAAAGTAACCGCTTGTGATTAAGTGGGGCGGGCGCATTTGGGCGCATTTTCGGGACCCCCCCCCCCCCACACACACACACATACAAAAAAAAAACAAAAAAAAAAAAACGATGAGCTTTTTGAAGTTCACTGATTTCTGGGTTTTTGACGATGCCCAGCAAGTTTTCAGTGTGAACTATGCGTGTATTTTAATAATTAAAAGGTTAATAAAATATCAAATGATTAGCCGCCTAATTGCACGAGCAAGAGTGTTCCCACTGGCCGCCAAGCCGGGAAAACTAAGGGCAATACCCAAAAGGTTTTAACCCGAGTTCCCTTGCTGCAGATCCGGGCCACCATGCCCTTCAGCACCGCAGAAGCAGAACGTTGGTTCTCAACGCTCCGAAGGTTGAAGTCGTACCTTTTAGAGCCTCAACATCACAGCAGCGCTTGCTCAGGCTCGCGCTTTTAAACGTTCACCGCGATGTCCAGCCCAGAGAGGGTCCTCTCGTTCCTTTCTATTGATCGCCGGCGGCTTCGCCTGAATGTGTAATCCGTGCGGGAAAGCGGGATAAGAGCAATCGCCTGGGAAAATTTACCAAGAGGTAGTAACCAAAGCTATCTACTGTTATTGTCGCCTTTGATGTACAGGGTTTGAGCGAGAAAAGTAAAACCTACTTTTCAACCCAAATAATAATAAAAAAAAAAAAAAACTGCGCATCGCCGAACGTTAAAACCACGCTAGCATGTAACCCTTAGCTATTAGTCCGAGCCAGAAATCAAAGTTTCAAAACGTAGCGTCCCCGAATTCAAAATTTATGAGTAATTACCGAAAATTTTCACTGGGAGATTGGTGGCAGACGGCGGCTCACAAAGCTCGCGAGTACAGGGAGACAAATGGGAGACGCTTCCAGGCCACGGCCCCATTTTCTCATTGAGATATTAAAAAAAAAGTGTTTATAACTTTTGAATTCGGTGATGCTACGTTCTAAAACATGGGCATCTTGCTCGTACCGCTAGAGTTACATTCTGGAGGAGTTTCACCGTTCAGTGACGCGTAGTTTTTTTATGCGTGCCGAAAAGAACGGTTTACTTTTCTCGCTTGGACCCCGTACATATCTGTCTTTTATTTTCCATGTTATGTTCAAATCATTGTCTACAGGAATTGTTGTCCTTTCATGTATTAGAATTTTTTCGCTATAGTACCTGGATGTACTGAGTCTCCTGCACTTTCTTACGTAGGGCTGATAGTGGAAATAAGAAGTGAGTCTTTGCCTTCATAAGAGCAGAGGAATAACCAAAAGTATGCTCTTATGTTCGTAAAGAGTACATATGTGAGCCCTCTCTACTCCTCCGGTCTCACCGGGGAAGTAAAACACCCCCTGAAAAATATTTCTGGCTACGCCACTGTTTTAAGGCACACTGTTGTAAGAAGTGTGTGAACAAGCTTTAAGCATCCATATTTTACCACTCCGTAGCTACGAGCACTTTGCCGCTTAATACAAATGGCGCCATCCTAAAATGATAAAACCGAACTAATGGCGTGTTATGTATACGGTCTAAAACGGAGCCGTTATATGACACGGGAGGGTTAAATAAACAGGTGCGTTAAAAAATGAAATAACGTATGGAGACCGGTAGCGTGGCATTGTACACGTTCACACGACACAACCCATTGTTACGAAGAAAAAGTATACAAGCTAGCGGGTTAAGAAACATCATAATCAGACAGAGAAACGGGGCACAAATACAATAGCTGCTAACAGGAGAGGAAATCTCCAACAATGTGTTGCTTCGTTCAATATTTTGGTTTTGTCTCGAGATTCAATTATACCGTCTGTTTTCTGTGGGGATACCTCAAATGAATATTGCAGTAAATAGCGTAGTATATTTCGAAGCATTGTTTGAATAATTAAGCCCTCTTATTAACACCCCATAATAATTTACACTATCTGTCAGTCATGAGCTCATTCGAATTATCACATAGCTGCGACAATTTATTTTATTTCATTTTCACTCAAAAGCGTTTCCGTCTTCTTTTCACTTGTGATGATCGCAAGATTTTACTCTTCCGGGAGGTTTCCCCTCAATCGTGTGCTACGTTACACTCCCAGATCAGAATGAAGAGAAAAGCGTATCGTGGAAGCGGTGCATTTTTTACTTAATCAAGTTTGGCATTTCGCATTCAGATTTTGTTGTGTGCCTTATTCTGCACAGTGTTGAGGTATCGTGTATCATATCTTTGTCATTCTCCTGGAAAAAAAAATCAATCAATATTGCGATTATGCTTGTGCTCTCTGCGTTTTTTTTTTTTTTTTTTATTTTCTGAAGAATAAACAATAAAGAATTGGGTGACGTCCGCAAAACTCAGTAAAATATTTTGAAAAAAATAAAAAATAAAAAATTAAAAAAGAAGAACTAACAAGGAAGACTTTTGTACAGATGACTTTTAATTATAACCATATTGTGATAGGTTCTAGAAACTTTCCGGGCGTCTACATTTCCGTGAAGCACTCAGTGAGCGACTTACTGCGACCTACGTGCGGAACTTGACAAATAACGAGGCAAAAAAAAAGTTTGACTTATAAATGCAGTTTACGTTGTGACGTTCAACATGGCGTTTGCATGTACGGTCCCCCGCAATATGAAAGACCCACTTGGAGCGGGTGGCCGAGGCGGGGGCTGGCGGGGGCGGTGCGAGCGCTCCGGGCATTTCGATTCTGCTTCGAGGGGAGGACGCTCACTCAAGACTCGGCACAAACTGATAAGCGCGTTGCGCTTTAACTGAGCCTCAAGTGAGCGTCCTCCCCTCGAAGCAGAATGGAATTGCCCGGAGTGCTCGCAACGCCCCCGGCAGCCACCACCTCGGCCACGCGCTCCCAGTGGGTCTTTCATATTGCGGGGGACTGTACACCCGTGAGCGATATGAAGGTGAACAGCCGTTTTCTTCTTTTTGACGCTCCTGCAAGTTTTGGAACAAGCTCTGTTCCAGAAGAGGGCTAGAACGCAAAGTTTAGACCCCAAGCCACGTACTATTTGAGACGTTGAGAGTTAATATAGCTTTAGCGAGCCGTAAAACAAGCAAGAAACCAGGTAAGGTGTTCACCTTCATATTGCCGTCGGGTGTACGTATATGAATATGTATATCCATAAATATATGTAAACGTATATGTATGCGTATGATTCACCTTCTTAAGTCACTCTCACTGCCACAACACTCTATTTATGGAACAAAAAAAAGATTTTGTCAGTTGTTTTTTTTCGAGCCCCCCATGGATCCCAGTGGTTGGCTCAACAAGTATTCAGCGTGAAAGCAGACGCACGGACATAAAATGTAGGCCTGCCTTGCTGCATACCCAACGGGAAGGAACCCTATAGAAGCCAAGATGTCAGGGAACGCAGAAACAACATTTAATGCAACGTGGTCCGGCATGCAAGCACGGAAACAAACAATTCGAAACTGCACATAGCTCGAATCCGTATAGGCTCTCGAAATCTGCCTCTGCACATTATAGTCGAGTCACTGATAGGGTGAGAACGGCAGGGATGTTTTCCAGTTGTCCCACCTCTAGCGCGAGCTTCTACTGGCGATTTTCAACCCGTGTTTTTCGCGTGAAACGTGCGTTGGCTCTTCAGAATCTATATAGAAATTTGTGGAGCCAAAAAGTGAAACCGCCGATTAACTCTACGCTGATTGGCTGGTTCAGGTATGACGTCACGCGCGAGGCCTCGCTCACTCGACACTGATTGGCTGGTGAATGCGCAATCACTGCCGCGCCACCGCTCGCCCACTAGACGGTGGTTGGATGCCGCCGGAGAAAAGAGCACCTGGGGTTTTAAAAACCGGGTTAGCGCCGGTATCTCCATTCCAGGAATTGATATCGAGTGTACATGGCACACGTTAAGCCAGGCGCTAAACTAACCGATGAAGAGTTTTGAGAGCGTAGATGTCAATCTCAGAGGCGCCGGACTGAAACCACACGTTCCACGTGCGACACATTGCCCAGTAATTTACTGTGCATCTTTTTTTAACCTAGCTTCGCGGCTTCGTTTTTTGACCGCCTGATGTTGTTAATATCTGATTCACTCAAGAAGGGAGGAGAGCGAACCTGCCACCACAGCTTTCTGTTTTAGAACCCAAGGTTCCGTCGATTTCTCTAGAGTTGGCGATAACTTCGATACCGCTCCGATGTCTTGTGAGGTTCGTGAAGCATGCGCAGCCAAAACTTTAAGGAGGGCAGCGAGCTCGTGCTAGAGGCTGGGATTCCAAAAGAGACGCCTTGCTGTTCTCATCCTGTTAGTCAGCATACCTTATTTTGGCGGTCTAACTATGGATGCGTTGTGGGCGTGAAAGCTATCGGTGCGCTCATAAAGCACGTTTTTAAATTTTGCGACGAGTGGTGTTATTGACAGGTATTTTAGAAATGAGGCAGCTGTTAAGCAAAAGGTTAGGTGGTAGGTTTTTTGTTTTTTTCTTAGACAAGGCTATAAGTTTTGGTCATGCTAAATGTTATGACGACAATGTTTGTGAGCATACCGTATAGTTAGACATAAACTCTGGGTTTTTTCTCTTTTTTATCTGGAAAGACAAAACATTGTTGGAATTGCGAATTGCATGAATTGAGAGTTCACTTAAAACACTTATACAAGTGATCTTATAAAAAGAAATATATTTATTATTTGACAAGGCTGAACAAGGAAAAATTTATTAAAAAAATCTTGCCAGTTACCCTTAAGATATGGCTGACAACGCAAAACTAACACATAATTCATTATAATATATTAGAGCGCGCTCAGACATATTTTAAACCTATGTAAATGTTCACTTAACTGAAAAGGTCAGGCTAACTTTTCCCTTGTGTAAACTGAAAACTAAATCTTAAGCATGTTCCCATCTTAAAGGCCGCCGTACAGTTCGCGCTTTCCACTTTTTCTGCGTTTCCTCCTCCCCTGCCCTCCTTTCCTTCCTTCACCGCCCGCCCGCCCGCCCGCCCCCCCTGTTTACCGCCCTTCCCCGAGGGGACAACACGGAGAATGGATTAGGAGACGCCTCCGTTAATCCGGCCTAACCCGCCGAAGAAGGGGCCTGCTGCTTGACCAAAAATTATTTCGCTGCTCGAAAAAAAAGAAAAAAAGAAAAAGCCGCGGGCAGCGACCGAATGCACTTGGCGGGTGCGCAACGCTCCGTCCGCCTTAAAGGAGCTGTGCAACAATTTCAGGGCTTTGCTTAAATAATTGTGGAAGTTGATGCCTGACACTTCTGCAGTGAACTACAGAAAACAGATTTTGCCTGGATACCCTAGTTTTTACTTAAAAAAATGAAAAAGATCCAGGTTTTTGCCGCCTCTCAACTCGTGCATCGTCTTCCGGGTCACGTGCACAGTGACGTCACTAGAGTAGGCGCGGAGTTCCGGAAAAGTTCTCTCTTTAGAGCCATCAGCGAGCAGCAAGAACTCATCCGCTGCCGACCGCGTGACCACCCGTCCTTGCCCGTCCGGCGCTGTCCCCCTCCCCCTCCGGCTTCTGGCGGCTGTTCGCGGTTTTGTGGACCTAGGATAGATGGCGCCACTAAAACTCCGTATAATAAAAGTTGTCGATGATACCAGGGTGTTGACGCATTTATATATATGTTGGAACGACAAGATTTGTAAAAAGAGTTACCTTTTATCGAGCAGGTATTCGCACAACTTGCTATCTTTCTTACAACGACCCAAGTGACGTCACGCCGCTTGTTTCTCATGGCCGCCGCTCGTGGCTGCAGGTCGGGAAATATTCCAAGTTTTGCCTCGCTATTATGCGGCGGAATCGCAACATTGCGATGAAAGGAGGTGTGTTTTCTGCCATTTGTGACACAGTGAACAATATCAAAAGCAGAAAATGCCAATTCTTTCAACGTTAAAATCGTTGCACAGCTCCTTTAAATAAGCTTGTATGCACTGGACTAACATTTTTCGCAGCGCGGCAGGTTTAGTGTAGGTCCTATCATATAGTCCTGCAAGACTTCCCTGTCCGCCACAAGCTAGCCAATAATTCAAGAACATAACGACGGCAGCGTATTCAAACAGTGTAAAATGAAATGTATATAATATTTATAAGAACACCGTTGTCTTCACTGCTTGGCTTTCAAATTTTTAGCGTTGCCAATAATCGTAATCAAAGTATGTTTATGATTGAAGACCCCTCGTCGTGCATCGACCCCAAGGTTACGCTTACGTGAAACATGATTCTGCGCGGAAGCGGCTCGAGTCACCGTAAACTTTTTTTTTTTTTTTTTCACCGTGGATTTTGCTTTTTAATTTAGCTGAAATACCACTGGCAGAACACGAATCGCATACTTGGAAGGTATATACCGTCTGAAAACTCATATAGCTGGTTGAGTGAATGCAATACTATCGCATTCGTTGAAGCTTGATTTGTTGATTCGAACTTCAACAAATCACACGCACCCATTCTCCCTATTCCTGTTTACCCAGTTATAGTCGTTCCCTCACGATGCAATACGTGTACAAGTAACTGCAGTTTATGCATTGTTGACGTTGCACAGCCGTGATCGCACGGTTTTTAGAAGCGCTATAGAACGAGCACAAGCGTCGAATTCCAGTACACTGATTGATTTCTGTCTCACCGCCGTGACGCCACACGAGAAAAGCGATTTCGTTCTGTCTTTGAAATTAGGAACACAGAAATCAAGATATAATCCCGGTGATAAAACAAAGCGAAATGGATCTCTGTAGCCAATACCCAACCGTTTGCGAGGTTACTAGGCAAAAGCATATATTACCTCCGTACCTTTATTCTCTGCACACCGCCAGAGAGAGTCATACAAACTCCTTAGAGCTATTGCCAACACGATTGCGTTTGCAAGCCGGTAGTTTGACTCGGCTGGGATTCGTCCCTTTCATAGCTCTCTATGAAACCAGAAAGGTAGATACTTTTCTGCATAGGGTAGGTTTGCCCGGGGCCTCCAGTTATTTACGGCCAAAATCACACTGGAGGCGCTTCAGCAATGTTCACTCTGGTCGACACACGTGCACTGTAAAAATGCCAGTCGTCTACTCTTTCCGAAAAGATACTTGACGAGCCAATCTTAGAGACCGACGGATAACGAGGCCGAAATTATGCTTATACCTCAAAAAAATTATAACACAAATTTGGCCTCGTCATTCCCAAACTGGTTGCCGGACGAAATTCTCTATGCGTATTGCAAGCCAGGGTTGGTAATAGTAACATAAGATAAGTACGGCAGAATTCCCTTCCATAAATAAAATTATTTGGCTGACGCCAAAGTAACGCGAAATTGGTGCAACGAGTTTTGCAAAAGGGAGCGTAAACCGAAAAAAAAAAGGAAAAAAAAAAAAGACAGAAGAATAGGAGAAATGAGAAAAAAAAAAATCTCTGGTGACGTGGCCAAAAAAATTTCTGTTCATGTGATTTTTATTGTCACGTGACCGAACAAAAAAAAATAAGCGAAATAAAAAAAGAACACGAGAAAAAAACCATCCCCTGCCCGGTTTCGAAGCTAGGCCCTCTTGATCGTGAAACTAGCGCGCTATTCGTTGCGCCTAGTTGCGCCAACATAACTTTTTTTTTTCTTTCTTTATTGCAAGTTGCGCCAACATAACTCTGCCTGTAATGCTCACGCATTCTCACATCATAGGAGAAAGCTTAGGTGCCTTCGTCGTTTTTCATGCATGTGTTATTTTTATTTGTGTCAAGAGTTCACGTTCCAGAATGCTTTTAGAGTTTTGGAGCAGAACGAGTTTCTTCATCTGAGTCACCTTCTAGAGCCAGTAGACCGCACTGGGTCCTCCGGCTAATCAAGCAGCTATTTTCAAATTCTCTGACGTGCCCGTCCTCGCATCCGAGGTCGCCGTTTGACAAGCTTATCTTCCACCTGGTAGCCGGAACCCCCAGCAAAGCGCACATGAGAGGCTCCCTACCCACGGCAGCTTTGTTCCGTCCCCACTCCCTCTCGAGAGGATGGCTCGCCCCGAGGCTAATCCCCTTCTCTAGACACCCTTTCCACCCAATGCTGGCCCTTTCCCTCCCCGTCTCCAGCTTCGGGAGAGAAGGTTCTTCCCTGCAGAACGTCCCGTTTGTACAGCGGCCTTTAAGTATGTCTTTTTTTTTTTTCAGAATAACTGTAAGCCATGTTTTGTGCTCTGTTTTCTCTCATTTGAGGCCCCAATACACTCTATACACTAAAACTAACAAACTGCCATGAATATATTTTTTTTAATATATCAAAAGTTTGGTACACGTCGAGGAACACCATTCATAGGTCGTACTTCAAACTGTACTGTCCGAACATAAACGGAAACCCAAGGTTAGGTGGCGCCAGCTACCGCCCACTATAATCGGTGCAGCCGTTAGCAGCCATCCATCTATCCATCGTCAAAATTCACCAAAGGTTCGAAGATTCGCCAAACCCATGAAAGCTTGAAGTTCGAAGTCGAACCTGAGTTCGCCAAGAGTTCTTAACATCCCTAATAATAGATCACTTCCTGTTTGTGGGTAAATTCATATGTCATACATGTGCTACAGCAAACACATTCATGAGGAACACCTGACTCCGGACGGGGCAGTGGTTCGAAGTATCAACTGCAAGAGCGCGTCCTGTGGCGAACTTGCACCTCGTGCTTATTCCAAGGGTCGCTGCCCACGAATTATGAGCTGAAACAGAACTCCCTAGCTCTAACGGCAAAACAAAAACCTCTCTGATTGCGTTTTCTTTACAAATTAGTGAGTCTTCTATATACATTACAGTCTTGCTGTGCTAACCTTTGGTTTCCGTGACATAATCGTTTAATGAATGATGAGCTAGATAGAATAAACACAGCTTAAACGCTCAGGCACGAAAATGTCACTAAAAATTATAGGAAATTAGCGTCTTACAGCGTCGCAAATTTCCTCCAATAGGTGGGTTTCATTTTTCCCTCTAGTGGTCATGTAATTAGTCAAATTGCCTTTAACCTGTAAAATATAATTCAGTATTAACTCAGGTAAGGATGGTAAGGGTAGGATAAAAACAAAACAGCGCAAAGACAAGGGCGAAGTAGAAGAAACCACAAGACACAACGCTGTGTCCTGTGGTTTCTTCTACTCGTCCTTGTCTTTGCGCTGGTTTGTTTTTATCATGTCTACTTACCAAATAGCCCAAACTTCTGCGTCAATGGTAAGGGTGATAATTTTGTCTTTGATATATAAGCTGCTACAATCACCCAGATACCAAGGAAAACGAATCAGAAGGACTGGCGAATGCACGTAAAAAGCTAATATATATTTTTTTTTAATTTCATGTTTATTTCAGTGGTTGGTTTTATGTAGTGACGTCTTACAGCATTTCCCCGTTTGAGTGTTGCGACAACATCACCTAAAACTAAAATTTTGAACGCTGACGTTGACGACCTAGTAAAATTAACCATGTTCTTCTCGCCCGTACACCGGCATGCAGTCTTGGAGACGACGTGTTGACAGTCATGTTTTGTGCTTCTTTCAAAAGTTGGGACATCATGCCGCAATTTATAAATAACTACTTATCTATGAGATTATAATATTACTGGTGTAAATTAGCCTCCGTCTAAAATTCAATATGCACAGCGAGTTTAAGACAACTTAAATAAATAAAGGCAAGCGCAATTGTGCAAATCTCTTTCTACTCGTCGCCCTTAATTAAGCCCCCTTCCTTCTTCCTTACCTTTAAGCTTATTTGCTTACCTGCTGTGCCTCCTCAAGACAGAACCATGACTCTCGGTTCGACTCGTCGTTCTGTGTCAGCTTCCTCAGCAATCACATGTATGTATAACTGTTTGTGTGTGTGTGTGTGTGTTTTACAAAAGCGGAGCTATGCATAAGGTTTTCACAATGTAGAATTTACCACTTAAATAAATATCTGATTAAAATTTAAGCCTCTACGTGAAGGGACAGATTTCAATGGTTCATTTTACATGGTGCCCGAGAATTGATGCCATTTTATATAGAACGTATGGTCTGCTTTTTCTATAGAAGAAAGCAATACCTAAGTACCGTAATGAGGTTTCATGCTGAGATATTCAACTAAACATTAAAAGTGGTTGAAATTATCATATTCGCCCCACAGTGTCTACTTGCGAGTGTTCAACATGACCAATTAGAATAATGCTAAGCAACATATTTTGCGTCGCACACCAGATATATTTAAAAACACGTTAGGCGTCTTCGTATTGTTGCGTCGTGACTGGATTGCTCTTATTTATAGAGCAACATTTTATTTTTGCACGTGTGTACACACCAAAACCGCTTCCAAGCAAAAAAGACGCATCAGTGGCAAATTCCGAATGCAACACAGGTTGAGTCTTCTGTAAAATCGTGTGTGGAACTCCGTACGTCATCATGATCATCATAAACAACGGACTTTCGCAACGTTAATGATGCCGAGTTTAGTGCGGCTGAGGGCGCCGTCATGTTTGTTTATGCTAACGCCATTACACATCAGGGTGGCTGCGCTTTCTGCAAAAACTCAATTTTTTTAGAAACCTTCTCAAATATCGCTGTGCAAGAGCGTCAGAAAATGCATAGTCAAGAAGCTCTAAGAACAACACCGATGCCACGAGTACTGTGAAAAGCAAAAAATCTTATTTTATAGGCAATCACTCTCTCTGCAAGAGCCTGCGTTTCAGATTATCATTTTCCATTTTTATCGCTGTGGGCTAGGATTTCGCAGAGCCGTCTAGTAGAGAGTTTGGCCATTCGTTGGGAAGTAGAGGAGGCAAATGAGGAGGCGCCTTTGGCCGAAAGCGGGCTGAATGTGTTCCAGGACGCATTCACAAATAAGAAATGTGGCAAACCGGAAGCCGGAAATAATACCCTGGTGGTGGTCGCGAGAAACAAACTTAATAAGTGCATTGGAATAACTCTCGGTAGATATGGTGCACGTGATGATTCAATCACGGTTATCCAAAATCATGGTGGAAGAGCGCGGCTAGCGGAACGATCGACATAATCCTTACGCCAAGCGCCGAGGGCCGGGAATCTGCCGTCCGAGCGGTCACACTGTGTCCGAGCAAAACAGAGTTGAGCGGCTCATTTCTTTCTTACATCCTTCTGCTTAATTATGATGGAAACATCACGTGTACCCTATTTTCAACCATGAAGGGTTACTACATTTAACTCTTACGCCCATGTTAAAACCGCATGCCTATGAGTAAAACCGTTTTTCGCTACCACCGCTAGGGGATTCTTTTCGGCTTCTGGTTGGCGAAGAGAGTATGTCAAGCTCTCGTTTTTGCGCCTGGTGTACGCCCTGTCATTGCCGCGCTTTCCATTGACCAAACTCTCTCTATACATGGCTCTGGGATTTCGGACACTCGTCTTTAGACTTTTGTAAAAGTACGGCCTCTGAGCGCCGCCATCTTGCTGCTTCTGTTTGTATATCGTCTGATAGTCAATCATTGGTGAGGCGTACTCACTGTTTCCATACCAGCACTCAAACAAAGCGTTTTTCATCCACAGTGGCCAGACTAGCTCTCGAAGCGCAGTTGCTTGCTAACCATCTATGTAGACCTTTCCAGACCTTATTACCCAGGCAAAACATGCAAGGTGAGTGGGGTGTGAACACATGCACGGCGCCTGATATTTCGCGGCGTCTAATATTTCGCAGAAGAGAGCTACTGCGCATATTCAGAACACGTTCCAAAGCCAAAAGAACCGGTTTAAAAAATCTGCTATCTGGTAGAAGTTGTAGAATCCCTGAACAATGGCGGACTGAAACCGCAACGTCGCGGTGCATTTTTTGCGTTTGGTTTGATTTGAAGGAAATAACGCACTCACAAAAAAAGTAGCAAACTCATTGACTTTGCACTTTCGGTGCTGTTTGATTTTGGATCGTCTGGTCCTATAGCTTATGCTATCCTCTGATGTTTGCCATTCTATGTAGGGGTTTGCGCGTTCCCCGGTGTCGGTTGATCCGCAATTATGCAGTGGCTCTGACCTCCTAACAAGCGGCACATGGCTTTCAAAAGGGGTCTATAGAAAAATATGGCATCTCGCAGAAGGCCATTAATTATATGATTTACATCCGTGAAATAATATTAATTTCCCCCGAATTGCCAGCTTAGGCGACTGAAAAAACAATTCGTAGGCCAGTTACCCCTAACGTGTCATTATTATCGCTGTAAAAGAAGTAGCTACATGTCGATTACGTGAACACTAAACAATATGTTCAAGGCATGAGCTAACATTGCTGTATCCTCTCTGTCGATTCCATTTAAAGGTTAGCAATTCATGTTTGCGCTCTTGGGTTACCAAACTGTACCGAGCACGTAAATGATGGCAAAATTCCCTAATTGACTAACACTGAGGGTTCCTTCATACATCATCAGCGTCGACGTCTATGTTCAGGTTAGTAAGGATTATTTCACGTAAATAGTGAATGGTTGCTAAGGCATTTGATTAAACTTACGTTTTGCGGGAGTTCCCGTAACGTGCATTGCAGCGAGGGCAATGCAAATTCTGATTTATTGTTCTTCAGGTCTAAGAGAAAAAATAAAAAAAAATTAAGAAACAAATTGGTAGCAATTTTTATGGCGAAATGCAATGTTTGAGGAGCAATTGTTAAAATTTGTTCAAAAGACATCTCACACTCGTTTTACGGAGTGAAACACATAATATTCATTAACTGACGTCAAGTGACCTGGCGTCACCTAACACCACAATTTACGGTTGACAAAGTACCACGTAAATGACCTGATATCACGGTGCCAAGTCGTGGTGTCACGTGACATCAGTTGTTTTGAAAGTCAAAGTTGTAAATGTTTTGGCATAAATGGGGGTTAGTATAATACATAATATATCCAGGCGGCGGGTACCTAAACTTTCCAGAGAGAATTGCTTAAAGGCGAAGCTCTGACGAAATTTTTATACACGAACTCAACTCTGTTACGTCACGCCGCAGTGGTGGCGCGTCGGTCGCACTTCCGGGGGGGGGGGGGGGGGGGGGGGGAGGGGCGGAGGTCGCGATGCGGGACAGGCATTCCTGTGTAGTTTCTGAAGGAAGCAGACTGGCAACCTGCCTTCTTGTCAAAACACCGCAACTGGGACTGTACCAAAAGGGCCAGGTAAGGTTTGAAGATCAGTTTTCATGTGACGAAAGTAATCCCTGGAGAAGGGGAACAAGAGGGACAAGGGACAAACATAAATCTCCAAACACAGCTAGGTGACTGGTGAGCGACCGAAGAAATCCGCCTGGTCCGGGTATCGAACCCGAGACCTCTCCATTACAAGTGGAGCGCTCTACCAACTGAGCTAACCAGGGGTTAGACGTCAGTAGAGCAAACGTGTTTTATCAGCTGCCACCAGTCGAACACCAACAAGGGTGAAGCTTGCAATTTAAGGTTATAATTATAATGCAATTAAATGCAAAGGTGCAAGCGAGCTGGACAAGAATGACGAAAGTAATCCCTGGAGAAGGGGAACAAGAGGGACAAAGGAAAAACATAAATCTCCAAACACAGCTAGGTGACTGGTGAGCAAACGAACAAATCCGCCTGGTCCGGGTATCGAACCCGGGACCTCTCCATTACAAGTGGAGCGCTCTACCAACTGAGTTATTCAGGGGTTAGACGTCTGTAGAGCAAACGGGTTTTATCAGCTGCCACCAGTCGAACACCAACAAGGGTGAAGCTTGCAATTTAAGGTTATAATTATAATGCAATTAAATGCAAAGGTGCAAGCGAGCTGGACAAGAATGACGTAAGTTATCCCTGGAGAAGGGGAACAAGAGGGACAAAGGACAAACATAAATCTCCAAACACAGCTAGGTGACTGGTGAGCGACCGAAAAAATCCGCCTGGTCCGGGTATCGAACCCGGTACCTCTCCATTACAAGTGGAGCGCTCTACCAACTGAGCTAACCAGGGGTTAGACGTCAGTAGAGCAAACGGGTTTTATCAATTTCCAGCAGTCGAACACCAACAAGGGTGAAGCTTGCAATTTAAGGTTATAATTATAATGCAATTAAATGCAAAGGTGCAAGCGAGCTGGACAAGAATGACGAAAGTAATCCCTGGAGAAGGGGAACAAGGGACAAAGGACAAACATAAATCTCCAAACACAGCTAGGACAAACATAAATTTCCAAACACAGCTAGCCTTATGTTTGTCCTTTGTCCCTCTTGTTCCCCTTCTCCAGGGATTACTTTCGTCATTCTTGTCCAGCTCGCTTGCACCTTTGCATTCAATTGCATTATAATTATAACCTTAAATTGCAAGCTTCACCCTTGTTGGTGTTCGACTGGTGGCAGCTGATAAAACCCGTTTGCTCTACTGACGTCTAACCCCTGGTTAGCTGAGTTGGTAGAGCGCTCCACTTGTAATGGAGAGGTCCCGGGTTCGATACCCGGACCAGGCGGATTTTTTCGGTCGCTCACCAGTCACCTAGCTGTGTTTGGAGATTTATGTTTGTCCTTTGTCCCTCTTGTTCCCCTTCTCCAGGGATTACTTTCGTCATTCTTGTCCAGCTCGCTTGCACCTTTGCATTTAATTGCATTATAATCAGTTTTCATGTGTTTTCTGCCTGCTCGGTTCATCCGAGAACGTAGATAGGTCCCGGGAAATGGGAAACCAGACATCATTGCACCGCGATGGCTTCTGTGGGTAGCACTTTGGGTTGAATTCTCGGATACTTGTGGTCATCAGATATATTTGTTTTGCTCTAACGAGAATGCAGGAAAACCATCAGGGTTGTCCGTACCACACGCGGACCACGTTCAGTGCGTCTTCACGTTCAAACGACTGTCTCATCGTTCGAACTGTCGTCTGCTCCTTCAAATTTGTCTGCTTGTCCAAGCTGTCGTCTGCAGGTTCTAACAACAGCGCCCAGTGCACTCTAAAAAAAGAGTAAAGTTATACGCATGACGTCGTTCACCTTAACGAAAATGGCTATACGCAAGACGCGAAGAGCTCATGCCATTCGGGTCACCCTTTTCAGACGGCGCCTGTATCACTGGGGAGCTAAAGCCCCTTCATGTTTCAAAAGTAGCGCTAAGTGCGTCGGTGCAAGAGGCAAGTGCAAGGTGCAGCCCTTGGGTAGATCATGGCGGCACAGCGGAGCACTGAGCTAAATTTCCAACGCCATGCTCTTCCCAGAAGTAGCGCGCGGCGCGTGGCTCAAGGATTTTCACAACAATGAATGGTGTCACTTTTCCCAGGCTAGAGGGGCTTTATGGGGAGCGTGTTAACCCCCCCCCCCCTTCCCCACCAGGGCCCGCGTTCACGCCGCTTCGCGGCGCAATGTGCGGCTGCTCATTACCTGAGCCCTGTAGAGGGTTCGGTCAACGGGAAGCGCGGGCAGAGCCAGGGCGTGCACCAGACGCAGAAAGTAGGCTTGGCATGCTCTCTTGGCCAACTAGAAGCATATAAGAATCCCGTATAGGAAACTTATATCTGGGCCATATCTGGCCATATCAAACATTATATGATTATATACGCCCAATATACAGCCTTATATGGCGTATATACAGACTTATCTGGCCTATATACAGGCTGATATGGCGTATATACACTTATCTGGCATATATACAGACTTATCTGGCATATATACAGCCTTATCTGGAGTATATACAGCTTTCTCTGGCGGCCGGTTTTCAATATATTAAAAAGTTTAAAAAAGTTAAAAAAATTTCTGAGTTAGCAAACTGTGAATGACTCATTGTTCGCAAGCTAAATATTAGCCCAAATAATCCCAAACTTCAGCTTTGACAAGTTTAAGTTTGAGATTATTTGTGCTAATTTTCATGAGGATTTCAATGTAACTTAAATATTTCAATTTGCTAAATCCCCCAAGCTCTCCGGCCCGTACTCGAGCAATCGTGGGGACGGTGTTCCTTCAGCTGCAGACCAATTTTATGGTTACACAGTTTTGAGTGTAATTCGGAGTCACCCCGAACAAGTGTCGTTTAGAACCCGAGTACCTGTCACACCACTTTTAAAATGTCCCGCCAATATCAGTACTGTGCATTCTGTCCAACCTTCAACCTGGATGAGCTGCAGACATATCTCTTACATTATTATCATTTTCGTACAGCTTCAAAGACGCTGATATTAAGTTAGAAACGTTAAAAATGCTATAAACAGCTCCGCTGAATCCGAGCTAAATCCCGGTTTTGGTTGTTGTGATTTCTCGGCTTTTAAGTAATTCCTGCTAAAACAACAATCACGAGCATGATAATATTATAAGAGATTTCGGCGGCTCAGCCTGGTTGAATGTTGGACAGGATGCCCAGTATCATAAACGCTGCCATTGACGAGAAATTTTAAAAGTGATGTGACAGGTCCTTGAGCCCTATGGGGACGCTTGTGCGGGGTGACTACGAATTACACTCGGAACTGTGTAACCATGCAATTAGTCGAAACTAGGGATCACTAAGGAGCTGAAACATGTCGTCGCTGTTCCTGAGTTCCTGGTTTCCTGGCTGCATCTCGTCCGGGGCCTGCGTTCTGCGGTCCCTGGCTACGTGTCGTCGAGCGCCCCGGCGAGGGTGCGAACCGCCATGGCGGCCGCGTCGACGGAATCTTCTCCCCCGCCGAAAGCGCACGCTTTCGACGTTGTCGTGCCAGTAGGCACATCGGCGGACGATCTCATTGATGGGATATCCGCCATTGTGGGGCTGCCCGAAATTTTCTCGGCGCAGCACCTAGGAGGTACAAACTTCCAAGTCGTCGTCAACACCCGTGCAGCCGCTCTCAAGCTTCGTGAGGCCGGCAGCGTCTCCATCGCCAACCAGTCAGTCCCCATCGTGCCGACGGGTCCGCAGGTAACGAATGTGACTTGCCTCTTCCTGCCGACGTTTGTGCGCAACGACCAGCTCGTCCAAGCCCTGGCCCCGTACGGCAAAGTCATCGACGTCTCCTACGCAACCTACCACCGAACAGCGACTGTGAAAACAGGAACCCGCTTCATCCGCATGGAGATGAAGGAGGCTAACCCCCTGCCCAACTTCCTGCGCGTCGCCGGACATCGTGCTACTTTTGACTACCGCGGCCTGAAGCGCGTATGCCGACGCTGCAGGCAGGAGGGCCACGTCCGGGCACAGTGTACGACGGGCTACTGCGACCGCTGCGGTGTCTTCGGGCACCCAACCGAGGGCTGCACTGCCAACTGTGGACGCTGCGGCGGAACCCACGCGACTGTGGACTGCACGGCCAAGAGAAGCTACTCCTCCATGGTCACCGGAAATTACGCCACCGATTTCCCGGCCCTGGACCCAGGAAACGCGACCCGTCCCATCGTCCCCGAAGCTTCGGCCGTACCAACCGTCTCCACCGTCGCCCCTCCGTCACCACCTGACGCCGCAGCCGCGGCCGCACCACCGCCTCTTCCGTCGCCGCCCCCACCCGCCCCACCTGAGCCAAGCCCGACCGGCTCGGGGGTGACTTCAGCCGAAGCGACGGACTCTGCCCGAACCGCCGCGGTTATTGTCGGCGACACCGTCTATGCAGCGTGGAGCTAAGCGTCGGGTGAGGGCGAGGTGTCCA